TTGTTTGGGACTTCCACACCATATGACTATAGCCTTGGTCACTACACTAAAGGACTACCCTTCTCCCTTTCCATAGTCTGGGACTTTGGGACAACATTTTAGAACACTGTGGCCCTATGCGAGCCTCATGGGACTCTCCCTACCTTCCACTTGGATTGGGAGCATCGACCATTCGATCTCCTAGGGGAATTAGAGTCGGCTCTTGAACATTTCATTAAGCTACCGCACTTGTCAGTCTGTATTCACTTTAGCCTTGGACTTCCCAGTGGATATCTCATCACCCAACACCTGGGTATAGCCTTCTTAGGCCAAATTAACCTTTCCTAGCCAAACTGGCTCTACTGAGGTCCAACCCCCACACTCTCCCTATTATAATTTTGGAACCCCCCACCCCTGGGGACAATCACTTTGGGCTTTCACCTAACAACCTGTATTAATATTTGGACTTGGACTCGGACTCGGTCTCTATTTTAGTCTCGGTCTCGGTCTCTGTTTTAGTCTCGGTCTCGGTCTTGGTCTTGGTTCCATCTCGAACTCCATCTTGGACTCCATCTCGGGTCCATCTCGGACTCCATCTCAAACTTTATTTCAGGTCCATCTCAGACTCCATCTCGGGTCCATCTCGGACTCCATCTCGGACTCCATCTCGGGTCCATCTCAGACTACATCTTAGGTCTTTCTCGGGACTCCCTCTCAGGTCCATCTCGAACTCTATCTCGGGTCCATCTCGGACTCCATTTTAGATCCATCTCGAACTCCATTTTAGACACTTCCACGTGTCATATGTTAGTCCTTTTGTGTCCCTTTTTTAGAGACTCACTTATTACTCGCTTTGTGCTCGTTCTTCGAACACTTTGTTGGGAGTTCCACTCCCGCTCTCAACTTTTCAAGTTGGAGCTTTTAGTCCAAATGTGTTACACTTGTTTGGCTTTTGCTTCGGCCACTACCACGTGGCACCCTTTCAGCTCCACTTTAGGGCTTAGAGATTTGTGTTTTATAGTCAACTCACACCTTATGGGAAGATTGACTTCATGTTCTTCGATCTTCCCAATAGGATGCCACCACCTCAAGGGGATACTCCCTCATAGAATGTGTTAAAAGCCTAATACATTTCTCAAGCCTTATAGGTTGCGAGTAACTTCATAACATACAAGGGTGTGGTTGTTATGATCCTTCCCCACTCTAATATGGGAAGGCTCTTTTGTATACTTAGCCAATAATGATGATAGATTTGTAGATTTTTCATTTAGCTACCTTCTTTTGAGTATAGCAGTGGACACAAAAGGTGCTAGTGGGCAGAAGCAAAAAGTGTGTCACTTTTTTATTTATAAGTTAACTCTTTTCTATTTATTTTTCCATGTTTACTCCTAGAAATATCTATACTCTATGCCACTTTGGGAACCACTGTAAGGCTACATGAGCTAACAAGTGTGCTGCTCTTTCTTTACCAGACTACAACAACTCTATAGACTATAAGCAACCAAAGGGAATGACTTGAGAGACGGTACATGGGGTTCAAATATAGAGGGAAAGGGCCCATGAATAAGAGTGCACCCTCTTTTCCAATCGGTTAAGGGTTTTGGGATATTTAGAGTTAAGCGTCCTTGGGTTTGAATAGTACTGGGCTGGGTGACCTCCCGGGAAGTCCAAACTCAGGAGCTTACATTTGGTATCAGAGAGGTCTCGGGTCCGACTCTATTGGTTGGCTAAGGGAATCACACCACATGTTGATTGACATCTGGCTGGTCTAATTTGCTCCTGCTGGGCTCGACCCAAGGGGTAGGGTGTCACATCTGGCTGGTCTAATTTGCTCCTGCTGGGCTCGACCCAAGGGGTAGGGTGTCAAGAGAGTGGGGCTCTTGGGAGAGCTGCGGCTCTCAGCTTCCGTTCATGAGGGCGTGAACTTGCAGGGAAGCGTGGTGGATTGTAAACAACCAAAGGGAACGACTTGAGAGATGGTCCATGGGGTTCAAATATAGAGGGAAAGGGCCCATGAATAAGAGTGCACCTTCTTTTTCAATCAGTTAAGGGTTTTGGGATATTTAGAGTTAAGCGTCCTTGGGTTTGAATATTGGGATATTTGGAGTTAAGCGTCCTTGGGTTTGAATAGTACTGGGCTGGGTGACCTCCCGGGAAGTCCAAACTCAGGAGCTTACATAGACATCATCCCGAATATAATTGACTCAAAAGTTCTTCCCCAACTATTGACACCATTTAGTTACGGCCATGTAATCTCAATGAACTTTATCACTAGTTTGCTTAAAACCCTTTGAGATAAAGGAGTTGAAGTTAACAAACACCTTAATCTCATCTAAAAGATTGCTAGATAGCTTCATAAATGAGATAAAATTTACTATTCTGGATAATGTCACCTCCATACTTGTATTGGTTTTTAACTGACATCTCTTATAGGAACTCTTGCTAATGAGTAATATAGCATTAAAGATCTTTTTAAACAACTAAAATACTAGAGAGACTGATGGTATGAATTCATATGAAAGTTTAATCTATATAGATAATGTTGCCATTCCTTCATAGTAGCAATCACGACATACAACTCTTTATCTCAAGTAGGCCAATTCTATGATTCATATACACAAGAGGATGCCCAACTTGAAACAATAAGGATACACCATAAAAGAACCATCTATCTAATATATGCACTTTACCAACTTTAAAGCATTAATTAATGGAGTATCACCATTGTATGTTCTAACAATTTCTTTCACAATACCACCAACTTTGATATATAAAGCATTGCACTCCTAATTGATTCTTGACTTTCTATTATAAAATCATTCCTTCATAAGAATAACATCTATGTGGCCAATATTCATAACTTAGAATAAAGGATGGTCAAGAATTCTTTGAATTGTTAAAGGAACACTTATTCATTGTGAACATGAGTGTTATATCCATTTGCCATGACCACTTCATATAAACTACCAATCTCTTTTCCATAAACAAGCCAAGTTTTTGCACCACTTTGGAACTCAAAAAGTTGTGTATAGCATCTGGATTGAAAATAATATTAATTGCACTACCTTGAATGCCCTTTTTGGCCTTCACAAGTTGATTCCCCATAGAACCATTGAGTTTATAAAGTTGATATAGACTTGAGACTTTGGTTCTTAAACTTTTGCCACGGGATGTAAAAGAGGCACCACAATATACATATGAGCTGTATTTATAATGGATTCCACCACATTCAACTTAGCATTCTTCGACCCCTTTACAAAAGAGCAATCATTACTTTAATATCTAATCTTGTGGCAATGAAAACAAATACCCTCCACTTTGTCTTTTTTCTGTTGGTCCAAATAAAGCTTATTAGCTTCATTGCCATCTCTATTCGTTGAGCCCTAATGCAGCAACAGTAGTTTCTTCCCTGAAGATGAAACATTGGTTGGCTGGTTATCATATTGACTACTAACAAAGCAAGCGAGGCACCAAAGCCCAGCCAGTACAAGGCACAGCAGTGAGGAGGCACCAAGCACAGGTGCTGGTGAGCGAGGCCCTACACACACAACACTGGCCTGAGGACCAGCGGCAGGCGACACTGAGCAGTGACTAGCCAGGAGCCAAGCGAGCAGGAGGTGCTAAGGAGGTGCTGAGAGAGAGAGAAGCAGAGCTTGTAGAGGGGTTCTAGGGCTGAGAGGGTGCCAAGGCACTAGGGCACATGCTAGAGCAGAGGCAGGGATGTTCCTGAGCAAGAGCTGAGAGGCACGAGAGGGCGCAGGGTGCTGAGGCATTGCTGCTGGAGAGCTGTTGTGGGGCTGAGTGCTGGGCTAGGTGCTGAGTATTCCCACGAGGCAGAGTTAGGGTTCTGGCCTTGAGGATGAGACGATGGTAGGACTGAGGTATTCCCTAGTCCATCCTTGCTATGCTTTGGACATGAGAGGGAGATCTAGCAGCCATGGAACGATCCAGGAGGCAAAGAGTCATGGGTTCCAGAGAGGCAGAGCTAGAGGGTCTGAGAGGACAGATTTTCTGTCATGGACATGAGAGTGCTTGGATGCAGAGGGAGAGTGATCTCAGATTCATGTCATGGAGGGAGTGTTAGAGATATATGCTCTCCATGACATGAGAGTCTACGTGGCATGAGTTGCCACATCACTGATCCAGGTGTAGGATAATCATAACTATTAATCATGTATATATGTCATTCAGAAGTGTTTTGTTTCCACTCTCCTTTCATAAGACCCTATAAGAACCGAGGCAGGTCTTTACATTCTAGTGACGGGGACTTCTTGCTAAACAATGAGGGCCATGGTCAGAGTTGCTATAGATGAAATGGAAGTAAGGGTTTTCATGGTTTGAGGATGACACGTTTTGTGAGAACAGAATGGAACACGAAGATATCTTCCAGGCAGCGAAGTTGCCGCAAGGCTCAAACATTCACGCCCTGTCGATTGGAATCCATTCGTTTGGGTGGAATCACTCGATCTTGGAGTTTCGTACTCATCAAGAAGGGTCAAGTTGACGCAAGTTCTTACCAAAGGTACAGTTTTAATTTTTGTAGAAAGATGCGTTGATTATGCATTAACTAGATACCTTGGTGATGTCGCTGCCATGCGTGAGCGACTCGGAACGTCTTTCCCGGAGAACAAATGTCCAAGAGAACTCGTCCACAGTGGGAATGCTAGTTGCCAAATAACGGGGAGTTCTCTGTAGGCGTGCTTCACTTGAACGATAAGGTAGACTCTCGCTTCATATGTTGATGTTGTTCGATGTTGGTTGGATCCTTACAAACAGGTTCAAAACGTGTAGATTTTTCTGAGGTAACTGAATTCGTTCAAGGCATGCTGCGAATATTGATAAGCAACCATGTCTTAATTTGGAATGAAGATCTTCAGGTATCTTTTCATTATGTTCTGTCTGGACCTTTCTAATGTGTTCTTATAAAGGAGGCGATGAGGTTGCGTGTAAGGAGGAGAGGAGGTGGTAATCGAGAATTCATCGGAATAACCACATGAAAGTGGGCATCCATGTAAGTGGTATCAATTGGCTGGTGGCACTTTTCCTTTGAGGAAATGCTCAAACAAGGACAAAGCTTGCTGTGGTTTGTCTTGGGGCACCATATGACCGGCTCCGAGCACCGTCAAGAATGTCAATCCATTGTAAGCTTGCGACCAGCCAGCAACCTGCGAAATTACCTTTCGTGTAAGATTTTTCTTGAAGACTATATCACGGGGGATTTATTTCACCTTGTCTTTGTGGCTCCAGGCAAACCATGGCGTTTGCGAGGTCAGATTCAGCTCTTTGATCCAGCTTCTCGTTGAGAGTGTTGATACCACTCCATCGGCATCACCACTGCGAGGAGAGGTGAAAAACCAAAATGGTAAGCTTTTGCAAAGTACCTGTATATCCAGATTCGAAGTTTTTTCTGGATCAAGGATTTGTAGAGCGGTAGCATGGACACAATTATATCGGATGCCTGGTAATACTCTGATGCCTTCGCGCTGGTGCAAAACAAGATCAAAGCTGGTAAAATAAGGATCATACTTGCATGAAAGTATTTACTTGCAGAGCTTCCACGAGTTTGTTGAGTTTCCTGAACTTGCTAAATTCAAACTAGCTTGGACGCTTCGCTGATTGAGGTAACTTTCCGTTTTATCATCGCAAGGATTGTAAGCATTCACCAGCATATTTGTGTGTAGGGACTGAGACTGTAAATACAAGCCAGCTTGTCCTCAGATCGCATGGAAAAGAACAAATGGAGTTTACCGTGATAGACGACCCGTTTTTACACGGAGGTTTGTATATGTTGTAGTGACTAAGTCCACTTATCAAGCGGTTCGTGATGGCCGAAGCTGCTTGACAGTTTGGATTCATGGAACCTCCGAGGATTGGGCGCATGGTGGAAAAATCGCAGTTTTGGATCAGCTCGTTGTAAGTCTGCTCTGGAATGAGAGAGTGACTGTAGTAAAATTCAACATCGCCTCGCATGTCATGAGCAGGATCAGTCCAGGCATTTCCTAGCTGCGGTAAAAAGGGTTACTTCCTTGCTCTTTTCTGTCGTCCATTTCACAGTATCTTACCGAAAATCCTTTCAGGTTGATGATGTTCTTACCATTAGCGTTGTTCTCCAAGATTTTCATAGCCAGAGTCGGGATATAGTGACCTGCGTACTGCTTGAAATCAAAGATCACAGTGACTCGGTAGCATAACTTACCGGAGTAGCTCTCCCCCAACAAGTAAAACTCGTTCTTCGAGTACTCTGGAAAGTTTCTAAACCACTCAAGCAGGAACTGGAGATTATCGGAGGCTACAGAGAATTCTCGTAAGGAAAGTAAGTCGATTTTTACTTGGATGCTCTTACCAGTCATCTCGTCGTTGTAGATTGTATAATCGGAGGTGGTGTTGGTGTAAGAGAAACCAGTGCCATGAGGAGACTCCAGAAATATTAAGTTGGCCGCTGCAAAAACTCTCCTTTATCTCCAGAAGCTCAATCAAACGACAATAAAGCCCACCTTTGTTCCATGCATCGCGGCGTTTCTCCAGTTTAGTACCACTAATATCGACGGAGAAAGGTCCGATCTCTCCGAAAGCTCCAGCTCCAACGGAAGAACAACCAGGTCCTGGCAAGGCATTCAGTAAGTTTACTCCTCTTCTCCATGCTTGCTGTTAATTGATTTACCTCCTGAAAGCCACAGAGCTAATGGTTGCGATGTTTGATTCTGGTGATCGGCCTCAAAGAACCAGTAAAAGTACGCTCTTTGCGCCGACGCATTCACAACCAAGTGGCCAGCGTACTGCTTGAATTGGACTTGCGGCTGCCCGGGAAGATTTCGAACGAGATGGGAGGGATTTGCTGCCTGCGACGCAGTGATAGCGAGCAAGATCAAAAGTATCCATGTCAAGCCGGTAGGCATGACCATCTATCTCTATCGATTTATTTCTCTTCGTTCTCCTTCTCCAGGACTTTAATGGTGTTTTCGACGGACAAATCCATAGCCAAGCTGTCGGGAGCTTTCCACAATGAGAGTAACTTGTCCGGTTCTTCGTGTGACCATTTTCTTTCCAAACAAAAGGGATAGCTCGAAACAGTAATTGAAGAGTCCAACTTCACTCACTCACTCAACTCAGACACACCCAAGCACCAGGTTCGTCTCTCTGGAACTTTCATTGATTGAAACAAGGGTTCTGGTGTTGATCGAAATGGCCTTTTTTTCTCTCTATCAGACCGTGATCGTGACGTTAAATTATTCACAAAGATCCAAACAGCCAGCAAGTTGATCCACCGAAAAAAAGAATGGTACAGTAGCGCAGCTCCACTCACTCTCTCTCCTTGTTTTTGTTTCGCTCTAGATCACTTTTTTCCCATCTTCAGTCCATATCCAAAAGGAAACAATGGATCATACTCGACATCGCCGTAGTTCATGGGGAGCTGCTCCACGCTCTTGAACCAAGTTCTCGACGACTTCCCCTGGAAGTCATAGTCGCCGAAGATCACGTCGGCGATCCCCTGGCCCTCGCTACCGGGTAGCCACGCCGCCACGAGAGCGTCCATGGAACTTAAGTGCGGCGCTACCACCAGGGGTCTCCCGGAGATGAGGATCACCAGGCACTTGACGGAAGAACACACGCTCTCGATGGTATTGGCTCCGTCCTGTGGGATCGTCAAGTTGAGATTGTCACCTTGGGTCTCGGCGTATGGCGGCTCCCCGACCACGACGATCGCAAAGTCGTAGCCGCCACCTTTCACCGACGAGGAGCTCGGGGATTCCTCGTAGACAACCTGGGTGTTCTTGCTCACGGTGTTGGAGATCCCTTGCAAGATTGTAGTTCCTGGAAGATTGGAAGAGAGCTGTGTCAATGGATGTGTTCTTGAGGACATGGTGATGGAAGTTTTAAGAGTTTCGAGTTGGTGTACCAAGAGTTGTGTTGCCGCTAGCGCCTTGCCAGGTGATGGTCCATCCTCCGCATTGATTCCCGAGATTGTTCGCGTGGCTGCCAGCGACGAGAATCTTCGAGGCTGTTTTGCTCAGTGGCAGCAGTGGATACTTGGCATTCTTGCCGTTCTTCAAGAGAACCAGGGTCTTCCGTACGGCCTCTCTCGCGAGATCTCTGTGAGCCTGGCAGCAAAGTTTACGTGATAAGAATGCGAAAGTTCGAGCTTCAAGGGCGGCTTACCCCGATCTGGCTGCGGTACGAGCTATCGGACTTTGGATGCTCGAACAAGCCCGCCGTGAATTTCACAAAGAGGATTCTTCGCACCGCGTCGTCGATCCTGTCCAGCGAGATGAAACCTTGCTTCACCAGAGACGTCAGAGTGTCGATGAACTTGGTGTACTCGTACGGCACCATGATCTGGCAAGAAGAATAAGCAAAAAGTCATTAACTTCTGGCGAAATGAGTAGAAAAAAGAGAGCTCCAGTTGGTAAACTGGGAGAGAAGAAGCACGATTTTCTCACCATGTCAATCCCAGCAGTCACTGAGACGAGCACTGAGTAAGTGTAGTTGGCACCCGCCGGGTTGGTGATCCTGTCAATGCCTTGCCAGTCGGAGATCACGAATCCCTGTTGGTAAAGTTCACGAGCAAAGGTTTCAACCCAATCCAGCCAAGTACAGGAGAAAGAAAACTCAGTCCAAAACACAAACCAAAGTTTTCAATCCAACCAAGAACTGAAAAGCAAAGTTGAGAACTCGAGAAAGAAAAGCAAAGTTTTCAGCCAAAGCCAATCTCAAGAAACTTCTCTTCGAGCATGACAGATTTTCACACACCTTGAATCGCAGGCGCTTCTTGAGGATATCGGTGATCAGATGCCGGTTTTTGTGCATCTTAATCCCGTTCCAACTCGAGTAGGAGATCATGACTGTCGACACACCTTTGTCGATGGCATCGAAGTAAGGCAGCATATGAGTTCCGACGAGACGCTTGTAGCTGCCCACGGTGTTGTTCTCGTTGATTCCACTCCTCGTCCCGCCATCGCCAACATAGTGCTTTGAGCAAGCAGCGACCTTGGAGCTGGAAAGCCAAAAAAAGTGTAAGAACTCTTTCCAATGGAGATCAAGTTTGATCGAACTTACCTTCCTCCGACGTATGGAACTCCTTTGGCCGGGGTCTCGCCTTGAAGCCCCGAGATAATCGTCGTCATGGCCTTGACCAGCTCCGGGTGCTCGCTGTAGCTCTCGAAGCATCGGCCCCATCTTGGATCCCGGCAAACCTGGAAAGAACAATGACTTCAGTTCATACATCACTACCGAGGAGAAAAAAAAAAAATCGCTTGGCTAGAAAGAAAAACACTAAGGTCGTCTAAGAACACGAAGAACAAGGAAAATGCTTAGGAAAGATTACCGCAACGCAAGGAGCAAAGGTGTACTGGATCCCAGTTGCTCGGACTTCCAATGCCGTGGCCGCGCCAATGCGTTTAACCAAGTCGGGATCTCTGCCGGGAGCCAAAGTAAGAGAAGCGATATCGAGTGATCCACAAGGCTTGTTCTTGCTTACCCGGCCGATCCAAGGCCGACGTTGTGAGGAAAAATGGTGGCTCCATAGACATTGTTGTGGCCGTGAACAGCGTCGATGCCATAGATGATTGGAATCCCCAGCCTCGTCGCCAGTGCCCCGTCTTGGAGCCCATCGACGAACGCCGCCCATGTCGCCGCCGAGGCGCGGGGCGCTGGAACGCTCCCTCCGCCGCTCAAGACACTCCCTAAGATCACAAGAGATCTTAAAAACCTTTAGGAAGAACTTATGTCGTAAAGGGAGAGATCTCTCTGTCTCTCTGTCTCTCTCTCTCTCTCTCTCTCTCTCTCTCTCTCTCTCCCTCTCACTTTTTTTTTTGGTATCTCTCGTGTCTTACCGATGAAGTACTTGGTGATGACGGATCCGGTAGCGTTCTCTCGCTCGATCTGTGTCATCTGCCCAATCTTCTCCTCGAGTGTCATGCGGGAGAGAAGATCCTGGACCCGAGCATGGATTGGCTGCGATGTATCCTTGTACAATGCTGCCTGAGAGAGGGAGGCATCGAATGCTAGAAGCAGCAGTAGGAGCAGCATGGAACGAGCACGGAGAAGCGATGAAGCGGCCATGATCATTGGCTCCGAGAGAGCTCCGAGAGAGCTCAGACAGAGAGAGAGAGAGAGAGGGAGAGAGATTAGCACAAAACACAAACTTATATAATCTGTGAAGAGAAGTATCTCTATTGTTTACGGCTGCTGGATCACCACTTGGAAGATCCAAACTCCGGACACCAAATTTGACTCGAGCTTTCGTTGGGTGAAAGAGATAAATCGGATAATCGAGAGATTGGGCACCATGACTTGGACAGCCAAAAAAAAAAAAGTCGCAAAAAAAAAGTAAAAATTTGTTCTTAAAAGTGTGGACCTTTTGCGTGGAGCCGTCCGCCCAAGCCTCACATCCGACGGCCCAGAGAAGAGATACGTTGTATAGACAGGCACTGGCGAATAAAACCCTTTAGGTGGACGATCAGCAATCAACCAAACAAGTGTTTCTTGACTTGGGCTCTTTGAATTTTTTGATCGATCGTGTCGCCGCAACGTCTGGATCGACAATGCTTTTGGAGGGTTGCGACTTATATCGGCTCGCGCAGAGAGTTCTTTTCTAGTTCGCTCTCCAACACACAAACGACGTGGGTTTCATGATCCGAGAGGATCAATCCCCCGACACTATCCGGCTGGAATTGACGGATCAGAGCTTTGATCAAGGAAAAAGAAATGGCTTCTGGAAACGGTCGAATCCAGCTTAACTAAAACAAACATTCAACAACCACGAATTTAACATTTGTTCTACTGTACGAACTCAAAAAAACTAGGGACGTGGTGAGGAGTCTTATGCTAGGCATGTTGATTCATAAATATAGACATTGATGGCACCAAGGTTCTAGAAATTCAAAGCTATCCCCAAGAGACGTGCGAATCTGCCCTAGAACTCGTATCTGTGCTCCATGAAGCTGGGAATCCTCCAAGACTGTAGACTGCGAAAATTGGATCCGATAGTCAACGTACGTGAATAGAACATTGATTTAGATGCTTGTATATCGATCATGACAATGGAGTCTAATTGTTCCGGATCAACATCTCCAGCAATAGCAACACTTGGAGTTTCATCTGGGACAACAACGTATGAATCTCTATGGCAATTTGCTCGTCCCTTGGTGACAAAGGTTGGCGACGAGGAAGTTTATTCCACGCAAAGAGGCATCACATTTATTTTGATACGCAATCTTAAAGGTATACTTACCCTCTTTTTTGGAGTATCATCCTTTTTGTTGCGCTAAGCCCTAGTTAGGGTTCTTCGCGAGCTATGGATGATGCGCATGCGCGGTCCGTGAGCCAGGTGCGGCATTTCCAGGAAAATGTGCGATCTCTCATCAGCGGCGTGCAGGTGCTCGCGTATTTTCGAGTGGATCCGTCTCACGGTCTTGCGGATTCCCAGGTAATTTCATTTCGAGCAAGATCTAGTGTTGTACTTTTCTATGTTCTTACGTACAGGTGGAAGACGCGCGATCTCTCTATGGATGCAATGGTATGTTGCAGTGAGCTTCTCGATTCTCTCTAATCGATTCGTTTTGTTTGCTTCCAGAGTTGCCTCACGAGGGCGGTGAGTGGATTTTTTTCCTTTCTTTTGTGTGTTTTAGCTCCTATCTGATCGAAGAATTGCAGGGGCTTCTTTCTGGAAATTGGTGCTCAAGCAATTCGATGATCTTCTGGTGAAAATATTGATATTTGCGGCCATTACTTCGCTCGTGCTGGCTGTTGTGGATGGTGAAACGGGCTTCACGGCGTTCGTGGAACCATTTGTGAGTTTTGTTTTCTCTTTTGATGAATCGAGCCGGTTTTGACGTTGCGCTACTCAGGTCATTCTGTTGATACTGGCAGCAAACGCGACTGTTGGAGTCGTCACCGAGACCAACGCGGAAAAGGCTCTCAAGGTTCGTTGGTATGCATTTTTCTGGGCTTAAGCATTTCGGCTACCAGGAACTGAAAGCGTACCAAGCGGATGTAGCAACAGTACTTAGAAATGGTACGAATGAATTTTGCCAGAGTTTTATATGGTACTATTCTTTACTCTTCAGGACTGTTGTCGATTGTGCCTGCTTCCAATCTTGTTCCCGGAGACATTGTCGAAGTCGCAGGTACTTTCAGTAACCAAGAATTGTACAACTAAAAACTGTTTTAGTCGGCTGTAAGGTACCGGCTGATATGCGAGTTATCGATATGCTAAGCAGCAGCGCTCTCAGGGTCGATCAAGCCATCTTGACTGGTACGTCCATCAAGAAGTTTTTCAATTGCTGAACGTAAGCTAGTGCAGGCGAAAGCAGCTCCGTTGCTAAGGAGCTTGAAGAAAATCCAGTCATTAATCCTGTGTATCAGGATAAAACCAGTATACTCTTCTCGGTAAAAAGCTTCACGTAGTGTCGATCGTTCTTACACTTACACTAGAATTGCGCAGGGAACCAATGTTACTGCTGGGCGTGCTCGGGCTATCGTTGTCGCAACAGGTTCTGAAACAGCAATGGGGAAAATTCACAGTGCGATGTCAGAAGTCACAGAGGTTAGTATTTTTTTTTTTTAAGGACTTCGTTTTTTCTTTTTTCCTTCTATATATTTTTAACTTGTGCTCCTGCAGGAAATGACTCCTTTAAAGAAACAACTTGACAATTTTGGGGAGTTTCTGTCGAAGGTATCTGTTCTTTGCAACTTGAAAATGCCTCATGCCAGCTTATATAGGTCATTGCTGGCATCTGTGTTCTTGTATGGGTAGTTAACATTGGCCACTTTCGTGACCCGGCTCACGGAGGGATACTTCGTGGTGCCATTTACTACTTGAAGGTACGATTTCCTGTAAAACATTACCGGCTTAACGCTCTTTCAGATTGCTGTTGCATTGGCGGTCGCTGCCATTCCAGAGGGGCTTCCTGCTGTGGTGACTACGTAAGTTTCTTGTTTCTATGGGATACATCCGTCTAAAGTTTGTTTGTTTGTTTTTTTGTTGTAGATGCCTTGCACTTGGAACCAAGCGAATGGCTAGCTTGAATGCAATTGTTCGGTCTTTACCAGCAGTAGAAACGTTGGGCTGTACAACTGTTATTTGCAGTGACAAGACTGGGACTCTCACAACAAATATGATGTCCGTGACGAAGGTGACTCTTAACCGGTCTTGTGTTATCTTCTAATATATATAAGTTTGCAGATATGTGTTGTTGAATCTGCTGCAACATTATCTGAATTCACTGTCACTGGCACATCGTATGCTCCCGACGGTGTTATACAAAATGCAAACAATCAGCAGGTTATAAGAACCTTGTCTAAAATTGAAGGGGGTACTAAATTACAGTGACACAGATTGATTATCCGGCGGCATTTCCAAGTCTTGTTCAAGCGGCAATCTGCTCTTCTCTTTGTAATGACTGCAGTATTCAGTACAATGCTGAGAAAGATATCTACGAAAAGATTGGGGAGTCTACAGAAGTTGCTCTTCGAGTGTTCAGTGAAAAGGTGAGCTGCTAATGGTTTTTCAAATAACACAATTTTTTTTACTGGAGCTGTATAGGTTGGACTACCAGGTTTTGATTCCATGCCAACATCATTATCGGTGCTTAGTAAACAGGAACGTGTTTCTTATTGTAATCGATACTGGGAGAGATACTTGAAAAAGGTAAAGGCTGAAGTAAGACAAGCTGTTTCTCTCATTTTATGGTGCAGGCCTTCGTATTAGAGTTTTCACATGACCGAAAGATGATGAGTGTTCTCTGCTCGAATGACGAACGAACAGTTTTGTTGTCAAAAGGGGCTCCCGAAGTGATTTTACAACGTTCAAATTACGTGGTCTGTAACCAGGACGGCTCCGTGACAAAATTGAGCCCCGAACTTAAATTGTCTCTCGAGGAGAAATTTCACAGGCAAGACATAATTTCTTTAGATGCCTTGTTATTTAACTTATTACCATGCGCAGTTTTGCTTCTCAGGAAACTTTACGATGCATTGCGCTTGCGTACAAGGACGTCCCTACTGGACAACAAACTCTAACCGAGGACGACGAAAACGGTTTAATTCTCATAGGAATGGTAAAATCATCATGCCAATGCCATGTTTGTTACTAATGGTTTATTTAGGTGGGGATGATGGATCCCCCACGACCAGAGGTTAAAGCAGCCATTGCGACTTGCAAGTCTGCTGGTATACGAGTTGTTGTCATCACCGGGGACAACAAGGTTGTACTATCTATCGTTTTGAGTCAAACTATTTAAAGGTGTCATTTTGATGCAGAAAACAGCAGAAGCTTTATGCCATCGTATCGGTGTTTTTGACAAGTCAGACGATGTTTCAAGCAAATCGCTCACGGCAGCAGAGTTTGACAGCCTGACACCTATGCAGCAAGCTGTTGCTGTGCAAAATTTGGTTCTTTTTTCAAGGTAACACAGGAGGAATGCAATGACTCTTTTATAATTGTTAGCATGTTGCAGGGTAAATCCGTCTCATAAGTCTATGCTTGTTGATGTCTTAAAGCGTCACAAGGAGGTGGTATGTATTATGACAGCCTTTGTCCATGACACTATGCTGTGTATTTGTAGGTCGCGATGACTGGAGATGGTGTTAACGATGCTCCTGCTTTGAAACAAGCGGATATTGGAATAGCAATGGGCTCCGGCACTGCAGTGGCAAAGGTGAGCTCAAACAACGAATAAGAATATCGCAATCTTTTAATATTTACGCAGGGTGCTTCAGACATGGTTTTAGCTGACGACAATTTCGCTACAGTAGTTGCGGTAAGCTAATGTTGTGCATTATGATTTTGGATTTAGTTTCAAGGCAGGCAGTTGCCGAAGGAAGAGCAATTTATAACAATACCAAGCAGTTTATACGCTATATGATATCATCAAATATCGGAGAGGTTGTCTGCATTTTTGTGGCCGCTGCTTTGGGACTTCCCGAAACACTAATTCCTGTAAGATGAGCTTTTTAGTTTTATTTTTTTCCTTCTGAACATTATGCCGTGCAGGTACAACTTCTTTGGGTTAATCTCGTGACAGATGGATTGCCTGCTACTGCTCTTGGATTTAACAAGCAAGACCGTAATGTCATGATGGCCAAACCTCGAAAGGTTACAATTGTTAAAAAAGTTCCGCGTTTTAACTGGATCCTTTTGTAGCTCAGATGGACGAAGCAATTGTCAATGGCTGGCTCTTTTTTCGCTACATGGTTGTCGGCGGTAATGACCTGATAACTACTTTGTTGTGCTTTTGCTCACACGTTCCATGCAGCCTACGTTGGTTTAGCTACAGTCGGCGGCTTCATATGGTGGTTTCTGTATCATGAAGAGGGGCCTCACTTGACTTGGAAGGAACTGGTAAGCTTGCAAAACTTCCGATACAGTGCTAGAGTCAGTCTATCTGCGCAGGTTAGCTTTAACGAGTGCAAGGATGGAACCATGCGCTATTCCTGTTCAGTATTTCGAGATCGTCACCCGTCCACAATATCAATGAGTGTTCTTGTTGTGGTGGAAATGTTCAATGCCATGAACAACCTCAGTGAAAATCAGAGCCTCCTGTAAGTTCTGCTTTTGTATTTTCTCCTGTCTATTAGCAGTAATGATTTTTCTGGTCCAGAGTTCTTCCTCCGTGGAGTAACATGTGGCTGATGGCTTCGATCGGTGTTTCAATGCTGCTGCATTTTTTGATCCTGTATCTTCGGCCTCTGTCTCTTCTGTTTTCGGTAAGAATTTGGACTTCTCTTTGTTTGTTCTTTTAATCACATACGATGATCAGGTGACACCATTATCCTGGGCAGAATGGAAAGCAGTGTTGTGGTTTTCATTTCCGGTAAGACTGAAACTTGCACTTCAGTGACTTCGCTAACTTGAGTGATACACAGGTCATTCTGGTGGACGAAGTCCTGAAAGTGTTGTCAAGACAAACTAGAGGTAAGCTTAAGTAATATTTTTCTTATCTCGCTCTCCCGGATTTCTCATCGCCATTTCAGCTAGGAAATTTGGATTAAGACGTAGACCCGAGCTGCTGCTACCAAAGAGCCAGACGCGGCGGGTGTAAAGAGGGAAGAAAATTCGTAAGCATATGCTGCTCTTTTGAAATTGGCGTTAGGTCTTGTGTCCGCACATCTGGACCGTTTATCGCGAAGAATCCGTCCGCCATGGCGCTCAAAGGGCACCAATGGAGACTATTGGCGCATTCAGCACTCCGTGGCTCCTTCGCTCCATAGCGTTTTTACTCGAGAGATCTTTCAGAGGCGACGAGTTTGATCCGGTTCCTACCGTGGCTACCCCTGGCGCTGGTTTAGGGAGAGAGCTCTTTCATCTCCATGTAAAAAGAAGAGCGATCAGGTATGTCGTGTTTCTCTATTTCTGATTGTTTCTGTTTTTTTTTTCTTTGATCCAGATGGTGTAGAAGAAAAAGAAGGCTTGAAAAACATGGAGATGGGACGGGCAAGAACGCGGTTTGAGGAAGTTTTACAGGCATATGTCGACACTTCAAAGTCAGTAGTTGTTTTTTCTCTCTTGCTCCGTGTTCGCTTGTTTTGGAGCTAAAACTTGGCCAAACGTCAGGGTGGCGGAGGAGCACCGCTGTGATGAACACAATGCCGTCATTTTGCTTCAGGTATGCTACTTCTGTTTTTGTTTCTGGACCCTCTTGAGCTGTGGTAATTGTCCCGCAGTGCGCATGGCGAAGAAGAATGGTGTATAAAATGCTAAGGAAATGGAATTGTGCTGCTACTCATATCCAACGTGTGTATCGTGGTCATTTGGGACGAGAAAGACATCACTCCATTACCCGGGCGAGGGACACGGCTCTCAGAATGGCGTACTTCAACCACAAGGCCACGTTGATACAGAAGAGGTTTCGAGGCTATTACAGCAGAAAGTATGTCCACAGCTTCTACGCTAGGAAAGAGTTCTTGCTGGACGTGATGGCCAAGGCCACTGACGTGAAGCAGCACCTATCTGAGAATTACAAGGAGCAGTGCAACTACAGATACAAAGAAGCGGCAAGGAAAACACAGGAGGAGATGCACAAGTTCATGGAAAACAGCCATTGCTTAGTACGAGTTTTTGTTTTTGATTTTCTTTTGTCTTTAGATCGCTTACGAACTATGTCTTGCAGCTGGGCACTGAAGCTATCAAAGGAGTGTATTACTCTCCATGTCTCGCAGTTCTCGGGGCGCCAAACCAGGTGGAGGCCAAAATCAAGGAGGCGAGAAAAATGCGGGATTGCGCAGACGACATGAAGAGGTCGAGACGGATAAAGAAGAAGCCACCGCCAGAGCTGTGGAGACACATGCACATAACGACGGTTGGACCATACGTGACGAGGTTTGAGACTCTGAGGCAAGAGGAGAAGCAAAAGAAGCTGTTCCAGCACGCCGACAGCGATTTCACGACAACTTTCAAGGACCGGACGAACGTGTTCAAGGGAAAGACGCTGCGGCTCCAGACGGAGTACAGTGGATTGAGGAGAAAAAAGAACAAAGAAGAGGGGTGGAAGAAGATCTCGGACAAGCCATTCTTTGTCAGCATACCTCCGCGTCGCAGGTTTTCATGTGGAGGTAAGTAGTCTCAGCTAGCTTTAGTTTAGCTACGTCGCAGGTTTCTACATTACGAGTTGCTAGCTTTAGTTTAGCTACATCGCAGGTTTCTATGTTTCGAGTTGCTACCTTTAGTTTAGCTCAACGCGATTTTTGGCTTTCGCTTTCTAATCGTGCCATTGGTTTTATTTTAAGTTGACACCGATTCCGAGCATGCGATTAGTTTCTCGAGTGTCGGAGATGGATGGATTTCACCGAATTGCTGCAACACTCGAAAGGAAAAAGAGACTCCTCCAGCCGAAGCACAGGCTTTGAATGTTCATCGCTTTTACCAAAGTGACGCTGGGCGGAGGGGAGCTCCCTTTTCAGCTGACAGTGGCTTTCCAACGGAAAAAGATAAAGAAAGATTTCGTGCAAAAGGCTGGTGCTCGCTGGTCGCCGCTGCTCGCTTGCTTTCCATCGTCTGCCGTATTCTCTCTCGATTCATCCTCTCGGGCACGCTTTGGCACTGCGTCGTCTTGTCCGCTTCCACCCGACGCTCGCTGCGGAAATTGATGGATGGAAGCGTTGATCACTGCGAGTATATATCGCAAAGTCTTTGCAGCGGCAGAGGCCGGATGTAGCGGCCCCGGCGCGCTGAGGTATCATGCATTTGATCTGTGGTGGTGGTGGTGGTGGTGGTGTGTACTTCCATAGATCTTGCGCATTGTGGCTGCTCGTAATTCTCCTCCCGCAATGTTGGGTGGCGGTGTCTTCTCAATACGAAGGAGAGCAAGGAATGTTCTACTCCAACAATGATCAAGGTGGCCAAGAACAGGGAATGTTTTATGGTGATGATGATCAATCATGGTCCGGTGGTGCATTTCGAGGAGGAGCGTTTCGAGACGATCGTGAGCGGTACTGGCGGGAGTCAAATCCAGACCCGTATCCAGATCCAAACCCCTCGCAACTTCAGCAGCCCGATCAGGTTGTGTCTCAGCAACAGATTCCGAATCAACCTCCGCAACAGATTCCGCAGCAGGTGCAGAATCCGAACCAGTTTCCACAGCAGGTTCAGAACCAGAACCCAAATCAGCCGCAAGTTCAGAACCAGAACCAGAATCAACAACAAGTTCAGAACCAGAACCAGAATCAACAACAAGTTCAGAACCAGAACCAGAATCAACAACAAGTTCAGAACCAGAACCAGAATCAACAACAAGCTCAGAACCAGAACCAAGTGGTCAGAGGATTTTATGACCAGAGCTGCCCTTCAGCGGAATCCGTCGTCCGGAGGACCATGGTGGACAGCTTCCGGCGGAACCCGCTGCTGGCCGCCGGAATCCTCCGGCTCTTCTTCCATGACTGCTTTGTCCGAGTAAGTTGGAGACTTTTGGAAAAGATTGATCGATCTGTAACTCGACAATGCAGGGTTGTGATGGATCGGTGCTGCTGGATCGAAAACCCGGCGGACCCATCCCTGAAAAGGAGAGCGACGTGAACAACAACTCCATCACTGGCTTCCGGGTGATTGACGACGCCAAGAAGCGCTTGGAGCGGATGTGCCCGGGAGTCGTGTCGTGCTCGGACATCCTCGCACTGGCTGCTCGAGACGCCGTTTGGATCGTAAGTCCTGATAGAAAAGAAACTTTCCATCTCCTTTTAGTGACACGAAATGCCTTCCGGGTTAGAGCAGAGTGGAGGACCTCGCTGGAGTGTCCCGACGGGACGTCTGGACGGGCGAGTCTCGCTGGCGACGGAAGCCGATAATGAGATTCCACCACCGGATCTCCGAATCCGGGACTTGAGAAAGGCATTTCTCGCCAAGGGCCTCAACACCCACGACGTCGTCACCCTCTCAGGCTAGTAAAACATTTCCTCTTTAATTATACAGCGTTTGCCTAGTTTCGGCATTTGCTAAAGATTGTAAAGTTCTTTCACAGGCGCGCACACTATCGGTCGAGCACACTGCCCCGCCTTTGAGGACCGCCTCTACAACTTCTCCGCAACAAACGCGCCAGATCCCACGCTCAACCTCTCGCTGCTGGACTCGCTCCAAAAGATTTGCCCCAGGGTTGGGAATACCACCTTCACGGTGAGCCTGGATCGCCAGACCCAGGTCCTGTTTGACAACAGCTACTACGTCCAGCTCCTGGCCAGCAATGGGCTCCTCCAGACCGATCAGCAGCTCCTCTTCGACGCCTCCACCGCGGGGTTGGTGCGAGCGTACGCCGCCGATTCGTCCATGTTCTTCCGCGCCTTCGCCAAGGCCATGATCAAGCTCAGCAGGGTGGGTTTGAAAGCTCCTGGCGAGGGTGAGATCCGGAAGCACTGCCGTCGTGTAAATCCATGACCCAAAATGCCCGCTATGATAGTTGAGTACTTCACAATAAAATTATAGATGGTCAGCCTCGTTTGCGCGACCCAATCGATAGCACGAAGCTTGCATCCATGAACGCTAGACCACGAACTTTGCACTTTTTTGGTTTCCGCAGTGTCCCACTTCACAACGTGTGTTGCCATACTAATGCATGAATTCAGCTCCCTGCTCTTGGCTTCGAAACTAAAGAGGGGAGCACGCCAGTGTCCGTCATCCAGCTCTCTCACTACGTCCCGGACGTCCCTCGGGAGAAGATTATCCCGGAAGAACTCACTGTGGATCCGTTTTAATCCTTGGAGCACATTGGTCAGAGAGCCAAAGTTTTCGCTTTCGTCCATCCGCCAAAAGGTACAGCAACCCGTCTCCGGCAAACCACGCTTGCGACAGCTGGACTTAAAGAAGTGGTAACGATTAGTGACACGGATCAAGTTTTGGCGGTCCTTCGGCCACGCGCTTCGACTGTCGTCCACGATCAAAGTGATTGATTCCTTCCTTGGAACAACATTTTCCAAGTACTTCTTGGGCTTCCCCTGGCCCTCCAATCTGGAAAAAACCCGACCCTTGAACAGCTTTCCCGTTGGATCTAGCAGCTTGGTCATGGCCATCGCATATTTATGTGATCCAGTGGTGCATATGTACAATTCGAAGATCTTACTAGCATGATTGAGGAATTCCAGTGCAAAAGGCCGAATCTTGGTCCATTTCTTAAAACCCTTGTGAAGAAGCTTGCGTTGACCTTCATTTTGCTGAGCGTACAGAAATTCCAAGTACTTACTTTCCTCCTTATCAACCTCGTTAAAAGCTGCCGAATTCAAGAGTGTGTGGTCGAGAGAAAGCACCAAGATGAGCTTGCGCTTCTTCAAACAATCTTCTTCTTTGCTGACCAAGGAACCCATTTTCTTTCGAGATAACCTAGGGCTAGAATGCATATGTAAGTTCTTGAACCAGGAAGGGAAATCTCTCGCTCAATCAGCTCCAAAGTTCTTGATCACTGAGTCACAATGAACCCATACGCATGCCAATCGGTGCTGGAAAGATGGCAGGGATTCAAAGATAATTCCTGTTTATTTTCGTGTTAGGGTTTTTGGGAAGAAATTTTTTGTTCATACACAGCGTCGAAGGTTTGGATTGAGCACAGTGACCGCCCGGCAGCACAGTTCGAGGTCGGCGCAGATGGTTTGATCGACGTAGCTTTGCGAGGATTTCTTCCTCGATCCGAAAGATTTCAGGAGTGGCCATCGCGTGGTAAGCCAATTAGAACTCTAGATGAGAAGTCGAGATCGAATACTCTAGGTCTTGCAAGTCGCCTAGTGGCCGCCCGCAGGAAAGAAAGCTCTTTATGTGTTGCTGGCCTTGTTCTAGAGTTTACGGACGAAGGAAAGAGTATAGACACTCTCCAAACTGTTCAAGCTGTTGCAGTCATTTCCCAGCCATCAGGCCCTGCATATCCACCATCTTCCATCCGTGAGTTCCGGTGCTATCCCGCCAGTTCCCCCCATACTCCCGAGAAAACTTTACAACCCTGTGTTCTCCAAACTTTCTTTAAGAGAATACGGCCAGTCAAGGCTGCTTTCTCGAGACAGTTGGTGCAAAAGCGCTTGTGTGCATCTTCACTAGTTCATCCAGAGCTTGTTGTATCGCACGAAGACGACGCATCAACTGCGGGCACTGAAAGTAAGCTTCTATCCACAGCGTGAAATTACCTAGAGCAAATGAATTAACTAGAGCAAACAAGCAGGGTCAATGGCTGATAAATAGCCTTGTCGTGATATATAGCCCCGCCAATGCGATTGTTGGTGCCAACGAGCTCTCTGGACACCCCGTGCAGTAGTGCTGACTTACACCAGAGCTCTGTGCAGCATCGTTCGCATAATGAAAGAGGGCCTCCAAAACTGCCTCGCCGTTGAATCCCATCTCTGGTTTCACCATGCAGGAGTCACCGGTGTACCCTGTAGTGTAGCTTTCACCTGGACATCAGGAGCACTCCTCACGCTGCAGTGATCCCGCCATCTTTTCCCGAGACACTGCCTCGAGCTCCTGGTTATCAACGACCTTGTAGATCTTATAGTCAAGTCAACGAATGCTTCTCGGTGACATTCTCTCGTCCGATAGAACTCCTGCATGCGGTCACGAAGCTCCATGGCTGAAGCGAACAATTCTGCCTCGAAGGACACCTCGGAGTTGAAAGTGTCGATAAAAGTTGCAAATGCTCGGGCTCCAAATGCAAACGGCAGACCACGTTCCGCTCTCATGTCCTTGAAAAGATTTTGGTTCAAAGCTCTCTCAATCCGCTCCAGGCTGGCGACGTCGTAGCTCGGGCTTGGTACACCACAGAACTTGCCAGGAATAACGGCCAGGCCGCCTCCATGGCTGTTGTTCAATTGAAAACTTACTAGTCGTAGCCGGTATCCTGCGACAAGCAGCCTGGGAAGCTGGGGATGATGCATGGTGGTGCTGAGAGAGAGACAATCCGGGCTGCAGTTTGGGACGCTCTAATGAAGCTCCAAGCCTTGCAGCCCGTGTAAACAATATCAGGGCAGCCGTGTTTCCTAGACTTCGACTGGGCAGTGTGCTTGAGTTCTCATGTTGATTGACATGGAGTTGGGGAACTGCTCCAGGAGCTTGCAATGAAGTGGTCAGTTGGGTGATGGTGCTGGAATAAAAAATAATTCTATATTTTACACATTTTTCAGAAACTTACAAGAGAGCTCAGATCTCACCAGTAATCCCCGCAAGAGCAGCTCCCGTCGTGAAACCTGTGAAACCGATTCACGTCCCGGACAACAATCTCTCGCCCACAGACTTTGGACATCAGCTTGGTGGCGGCATGGCAGTCGGAGCAAACTCTCAAGTTCTTGATCACGCAGAGTGAGCTCCCTGGGGGTGTGGAGATGATCCCATACGCGATGGCCAGCCTCTCGCTGTGGTACCAAAGGAGCTTCTCCTTCCTGGCCTCGTCTACGTTGTGGAGCACCACCTTCGTGTCCGGGACGTATCCAAGACTCTTCATCTCGCGATTCAACCTTTCCAGCTCCGCGTAGATGGCCTCCGACTTGGAGTGCGATCGATCCCCGCATCTAAACTCGTGGACTCTGCCGTGGACCTCGATCACGCTCAGCCCCGTCTCCTTCTTCACGCCCCTCGACTCCATGAGCTTCCGGATCCGGGCCTTCTCCTTCCACTTCCCGGCCGCGGCGTAGATGTTTGACACCACCGCGTAGGACGTCGAGAGCTCGGGATCCAGATCCATGATCCTGGCAGCCGCGCGCTCGCCTTGCTCCTGCCGGTTATGGACCAGGCACGCGCCGAGGAAGCTCGTCCAGGCCACCACGACGCTTGGCGATGGCGGCATGGAGGTGATGAGCTCCTCGGCCTCGTCTATCTTCCCTGCTCGTCCCAGAAGATCCACCATGCATCGAAAGTGCTCGTTCAAAGGCCGGATCCCGTGGTCTCCACGCATCACCAGGAAGTAGTACCTCGCTAGCTCGAGCTTCCCCGTGTGGCCGCAAGCAAAGAGAATGCCCATGAAGGTGACGCCGTTTGGACGGATGCCCTCGAGCTCCATGTCGAGGTGGAAGTCGAGAGCTATGGCGCCATGGCCGTGCTGGGCATAGGACGCGATCATGGCGGTCCAGGTGACGACGTTGCGTTGCTTCATGCCGTCGAAGAACTCGCGGGCCTCGACGAGCTTGCCGCATTTGCCATACATGCTGAGAAGCGCGGTGCCGACGATCACGTCCGACTCCATCTCGGCCTCGAGGAGGTGTGCGTGGATGATCCGGCCTTGGGAGATGGCGGCAATGGCGGCACAGGCATCAAGGACCGAGACGAAGGTGACGGCGCTTGGTCTGGTTCCTTCCAAGCACATCCTAGACCAGTCGAGATCGTCAGAAAACATGATCTGAGGAGGAAGAAAAGTTGCTGAGAACGAAGAGGATCGAGGAGGAAGAAATGAAAATGAGAGAGAACGAAGAGGATCAAGGAGAAGGAAAAGGAAACAAACCTGTGATAGAATCGCAGTGCTTCCTTGCAATGCCCATTGCGGGCAAATGCCGCAAGCATGGCATTCCAGGCGACCACGTCCCTCTCCTCCATCCGATCAAACAAACTCTTCGCGTCACCAATGCTCCGGCACCTCCCATACATGTTGAGAAGCGAAGTAGCGAGATTTGGCTCGCCCTCGAGCCCCGCCGCCACAACGATCGCGTGGATCTCCTTCCCCTCCGCGAGCCCCTCCAAGCACGAGCACGCCTCCATCGCCACCAAGAACCCCACGCGATTTGGGCGCTGCCCCTGCTGGATCATCCTCCGGAACACGGCGATGGCGTCGCGGCACTGGCCGCAGTGGATGCACGCCTTGATGAGGAAGTTCCACGAGAATCCCGTGTGGCAGGGCATGGAATCGAAGACGCTGCGTGCCTCGCGAAGGCTGCCACATTTGCCGTAGGCCTCGATGAGCATGGAGAAGAGGATTCGCGAGTCGCGGAGGCGGGGGTGGGAGAGGAGGTGGGAGTGGACGCGCCGTGTCTCCGCCAGGGCCTTGCAATCGCCGCAGCGGCGGAGCACGCCCGCGTACTCGGCGAAGAGATCGTCGAAGGGATTCTCCTGGCTCTCCAGCTGCTGCATCGCCCTGTCCAGCCGCCCCAGACCCTGCAATGGATCCACGCTGCGGCTGCGATCTTGGAGGCGCAGCTGCCGCCCAAGCGCATCCATTGATAGCTCCAACTCGCCATCGCTCCTGCGGGGATGGGGACTCGCCCTGGGCTGAAATGTGGAGAGCGCCAGTGGCATTTCACTCAAGAGCCCTAGATTCAGATCAGCCGAAAGGTATATTCTTAAGGAAATCAACTGAAAAATGTTACAAGGATATGTTAAATATTCCTATATAAATTAAAAATATCTATTCTCACTAACTACCGTTAAATATATTTATATGCCTTATATTAAATATGATAAAAAAGAATGAATTAATTTCAATAAATTGCTGCACATTGCAGCAACGCTTGGTTTCTTTTTAATGTAACTTTTACATTATAACCTTCAAGTACAGTTTTGACAAGAATCTAATTTTAATAAATAAATTTTGTTTTAAAATAAGATATGGTTTTAAGCAGTCCAAGATCCTTTGTGGAACTCATTTGATGATCAGTGCCTTGATCAAATTCTACAGTTTTGTATGCATACTGCCACATGGCACATTGTCATCCATGCTAAATTTTGTAATCTGCATAGGTACCATACACAAATAATGCAACAGGTAGCATTGATCAATCCTATACAAATAATAAAAAGAATACAAATCAACAATGCTAGCCACTACTGAGTGATCTCAAAGTTGAACCATCTTTGCCAGCTTAATTTCTAGGAGGAAGCTCATAGCCAGGCTAAGGCTACAGGATGACAAGCATCCTCGTTGCCAGCTTGTAAGTTTTGTTTTTCAATTTTCTAAAGGAAAATCTCTGGTGATTTCACCTTTGAGAAGAATGCCAGGCCTCACCAGCACAGACTTGCAAAACCTCATGAACATTTGGTCAGGAGTATCTCAAAGAAGATTTGAATCATTGCTGCCTGAGAATCATTGTGCCAGCTTGTACTCTTGGCTTTCTTTCTAGGGGCTCCAATCCATAGAGCTGTATTGCCCCCTGGCAGCCGGCTAGCCGACCCGGAGCTCCCTCTTGGCCAAAAGAGGAGAAGGAAGTCGGCTACATCATCTGTGAAGAACTATGCCTACAGCATGAGCAAACTCGACAAGTTCATGCTACGGTCACTGTGTGAGGTCTGGAAACAGATGATGCAGTGTATGGCAAGTGTGGCAACCTTGAAGAGGCACAAATACGATGACATTGCTTGGGCTCATGATATCCTTCTACATACAGTGGCATCGGAGCAAAGCTTTTTTGGCTAATGAGGTGTCCCAGTTGACAAAGTTGCATTCACGGCCACCTATGCAATGGTGCCGACAGCAGCCTCAAGTATGGATTGCTGCTGGAGCTCATACGAAAGGTGCCAATCTCGAGTGCTACATCAATAGCTTTAAAAGTTTTGCACCTGGATTTCACTCGCTCTATACCATCCCCAAGGACATCCTCTTGACCCGGGCTATCCGCTCTTCTCCGAGCCTAATCATTCGAGCTCCAGCTATCCTGAGGGAAGGTACCAGCTACTCACAAGCATCACCATTGCGGAAAAAAATGCTCAAGGGGAGAGCTCTTACTGAAGCAAGGTACAAGATTTTACACACAAGCATAATGACCCTAGCCGCCAATGCTCTCCTCTTCGGAAGACACAAGATCTCAACTTGATGCAAACACCAGCGCTCCCAACTGATCCCGGTACCTTCAGTGCTAGCAGTAAGATGCTCTATCTCCTGATCCTGCCACTTCACCCTCTTTAAAACAAGCAAAAAGTTAATGTTATAATCTTTAACATAGACGATCCAACCTTGAAAAGAGAATTCTTTTCTTCGGAAAGCAAACCTAATCCTTTGGGACACTAGATTCAATGTCGCATACCTAAGTAGCCATTCCAAGACGCTTCCCGGTTTTTGAGCAGCTCTGCTCCCAGACATCACCTTCTCCCACCTCCTACACCTCGCAACCTGACAATTATTCTAGTGGATGATTAAAGGCCTTTGATCTGTGGCGGGGCTCCTCCTACGCTTCCTGACATGCTTTCTGGAAGCGCGTTCTGCTTCTTCTCTTGCAACAACTTTTTTCTCAGGATCATCCACTGGAAGTGTGGAGTCGCTATGTGTGCCTGCAATGGGGACCGATCCATCTGAGTCCGAATCCAAGCACAACACATTGCTCACGTTGGCAGGAAGACCATGCGAATTTTTCTAGTGGTGGTGGTGGTGATGGTGGTGGTCGCAATGGCAATGCTGGTGGAGGCACTTGCAAGAATTGATTATGACAATGCTTTCCAGTCATTGTCGTCACCTTTGTCTATTATCACCTGAAGGCACCAAAATTGTCTGGTCCCTAAAGCCCTCTCTGAACTGGGCTCTCTAGCTCTTAAACAACCGTTAGCTTTCCTGACAAGATCCCAAGCAAGCCTTCTTGAAGCGCAACCAGACGATTTGGGCATTTGTGGAATCTGGCAAAATGTTTTATTTTTAAAATATCCACGTATATTCTACAGTTAACGTTTTGTAATCAAGGTTTAATGCTATGTGTTGTAAATTTATTCTCCGGAATTAGTAGAGTTTCAGCAGGAGCGAGAATTGAATGCATCCCACATATATATCCTCGTCATGGCTTACGAATTTACAAGAGCAAGAAAAACATTTCCAGCTTACCATATTGATCTTCTCAGAATCTGTTCTCAAGCTTCGAAATGGCGCCATAGATGGAAGAGAACTTGTCCAGCGAACTTTCCTTGCATCTGAAGTGCTTTACGTCTCGTAAAGCTCCAAGGTGGAAAAATCCAGATGGCCGTGCGACCTTTTCTGGATCAGCACCCTCTTTAAATTCTTTGCAGCTCATTTCGTCTGGGAGCTTGGTTGTAGTCCTGGAAAGAAAGCAGCGCATTCTCTTTGACGTGTCGCACAATTTCCTGACGAGCTAGCAGCTTTCATATCACCAAAAAAACCATGTGAATTTTCATGATCCTAATTGCCCGTTGCCGTATTGAATTCCCGAAATTTTGGGGTCTTTAGGATCGTCTATAAATCTAAACCACCGTGAGTAAGGATCGACTGTGATGGGATCTCCTGCGCGAAACATCCTTTTCGATCGGACTTATCCGTTGGAGGAAGAAAACAATGCAAAAACTTTTTTTTTTCTTTTGGTAGTAATGTGTAAGTACCGATCAGAGCTTTGGTGATCAGTCCGGACAAGGAACTTACCTGTTTGTCCAGATCTGTAAGAACCATAGTATAGAAATTCCACTGTCCGCAAGCCTGGGGTGATCCTTGCTCTAGCAAACATCAGCAATGATGGTGGTGATCAGATTAAGTTTGCTCCATTCGATCCTGAGTGAGTTCATTGTTTACTCCTTTATTTTCTCAATCCCAGCAAGGCGGCATGATCATCGTTGACGACAGCAGCAGCAGCGAGAGAGATCGAAGATCAATCGACGAAACAGGAGCACTTTTCTAGTGGAAAAGTAAAGCAATGTACTAACAAAAGAATGGTGGTGAGACAGCGATCACAGCCAGCCCAGCAATGATTTCGTAAGTATAACAAGTCCAAAGAGATTGATAACTCCTGGGATGGAAAAACCCAGTCACTGTCCAAAACGTGCATTCACAGCGCGAGCATCGCTCACTCCTACAAGAAAGCCAGGCCGAGAGGAAGGAAGAGGATGAATCCAAAGTTTCAAAGTCTTCCATGGCTAGCTCTGTGCTCTTGCAGCAGCAAAAGGGGGGCCATCAATCAGCACGGAATTCAAGCTGACCAAGCCCAGGCTCAGCTGGACGAAAAGAAAGCTCGGCTCGCAAAAAAAAGCAAGACAGAAAAGCGGGGAACAAACAAGGGAAACGAGACGACGCGTGCGATTCTTTTGTTGGTTCCCGGCTCTAAGTTTTTCCTAGTAGCTCCACAGATCCTACAGAGCTACAACAAGCTCGAGCTTGTCCACACGACCTGCTCCATTGGAGTTTGCAAAAAAATCTTCCTCACAGCTTGCAAGGATCGCCGAGCCACGTACCAAAGCCCCGCGAGAGATGAGATTGAGAGCGCCATTAAACAAAGCTTTCCCCCTGTCTTCCAAGTGCTGGACCAAAGTCTACTTTGGCATGGACGGGACCATCTCCATCCCCTCTCTCGGGACTTTCCAAGTGGTCCACTTGATCGCAGACGAAACGAACACCGAGAGAGAGCGAGAAGGGATCAAGCACGACAGGTTTTCTTTCGAGAGAGAAAAAGATGGCGGCCGTGGAAAATTGGTGGGCTTTGGAGGCTTTGCGTGTAGATTGATGAATCGAGCTCGGTGGAGCAGTACCTAGTACACGGTCGATCCAACAACAAAAAGAGCGAAGGAAACTTTGGAGCGAGCGGGCTTAATAGTTCCTGGAAAACTTTGGTCTCCGGATTCTAGAAGCGCAGAAACTTTGGTCTGGAAAAACAAGGTGTCGCACCTAACTAGCTGACACAAACCGTGAGTGAGGCTTTCTAGCTGTCTTCCTCCCAACACAAAGAGAACAGTGGAACTAGAGCACCGTACCATTGCTTGCTCTTTTGGGCCATTGCACGGCAGTGTGTGGTTTGTGTGTGTTTTTGTAGAGGATTGACTCATAGCTAGGCCAGTTAGAGATCAAAGTCCCCATGGTTCCGTGGTGCTGATCCAATCATTTTTTTTTTTTTTGGTGTGTGCTGTGCACATGAAAATACCACCTTTGACAAGAACACCCAACTGACCCGTGGACGATTCTCGCGCTAGCTACGTCTAGAAAAAGACTCGTCCACAGTAGAGAGCCGAGCAAAGTTTCGTCGTCAATCGCCCAACAAGGAGGGGCCAGCCGCGCAAGAAATCCAGGACGGCGCGAAAGAGACCACCTGAGGGGGAGAGAGATTGGAACAGCACAACTTCATCCGGATATCAAAGGTCCAAGGCGAGATTTATATCTGCTATGTGTCGACGATCAAGTGACCGATCGATCGTTCTCTTCTCATTGAGCAGTGGTAGCTTGATTACAAACCTCGTCTTTCTTCTAGCAATGCACACGTTATTCCTCACCTCCGAGAGAAGAGGATCCGATCAATCACTAGAACTCTGTACAAGCCCCGTACAGAAAGAAAAAGAGAAGGAAAAGAAGGAAACACTGAGCTAGAAGAGACTAAGGACAATGG